TAGAGGAATCCCCTTGACACTGCCCCTCGGCCAGAAAGAACCCCCTGAAGAGCCACACAGGAAGATGGTGGCACCCAGATTTCCCTAAAAGCTCTTGTTAGACATAGAGCTACATTTGTTCAGAAACCACAGACTTTCTAAGCACAACTGAGCTCTTCACAAATTCACTTGATAATGTTGAAATATCTAAGAAGATTTGTTTCATTTGTAGGAAATCCTTCAATAATAACACATGTTTCCCAGAATGAGACGGTTGTGGCAGGAGGCAAACGAAACATTCTCTATGTGTCATTTGTATGGTGACTTTTTGTTAAAAAAAAAAGTGGGGAACAGGATGTTGTGTGGTTAAGTGGGGTCATGACTACCATGCTCAACTGGGAGGATGGCTACTTCACAGCAGTGTAATTGTTAGGGGAAGAGTATGCGACAGGAAGACCTTGGTAACTTGGCATTATGCTCTAAATAAAAAAAAAACTCACATTTCTTAGCAGTTTCAGAGCAACAAAATGCTTTCCTCAAAAACAGTCTTGTGAGGTCAGTATTACAAATTTTACCCCCATTTTACAGATGAGGGACTTGAGGTTAATTTGCCTGTAGTCAAAGGGATTGTAAGCAGCAAAGATGGGACATGAGCCCAGGTCTTCTGACTCGAAGTCTGGAACCCTTTCAAACACACAATATTGCTTGTCAAATGGTATTCATGTATGAAAACCCAGATTTGGTCAAAAGATCATAGGAACATGAAGCTAGGCCAGAAGGGACCTCAGAGGCTGTTTTGACCAACCTCTTCGTTCTGCAGATAAATTATTAGACTGATTCCCTGTAGGGATCCATTTAAGTAACAAGCTCTCCTAGTACATTGAGAGTATGATTTGATTTACAAAAATGTGATTTGTGTGTAACTTTATCAAGGATACCTTAATATTTAAAATTTGTTTTTCTCGGCATCCAACATGGTACCTTGTACACAATAGGCTTTTAATAAATGTTTGCCAATTAAAATGAAGGTGAAGAGGAGAATCGGGAAAAGGAATAAACATTTATATAGCAGCTACTATGTGCCAGGTACTGTGCTAAGCCAAGTTTTTCAAAAATATCTCATTTGATCTTTACTGAGAGGTAGCTGCTATCGGTATCTCCATTTTACAGTTGAAGAAACTGAGGCAAACTGAAGTTAAATGACTTTCTCAGGGTAACACAGCTCATATGTTGAGGCTGGATTTGAACTCAGGTCTATCCTTACTTCAAGCCCGGTGCTCTATCTATTGTGCCACTCAGTGCCTCCAGTGAATGGAATTTGACCACCTCTAAGGCCCCTTCCAGACTTAAATACTATAATTCCTTTTTATTGTTGTTTTTATTTTAAAAGTTGTGAACTTAACAAAAACAAATGAAATGGGTATTTCCATATACATAGTAGAACAACAACAACCCCCCAAAAAAAGGATAGTATGTAAAATTGAAAATCTCTATTATGTGTGGCTTGCTTTTCGTTTTTAAGTGTATGGTAAATTCAGCTTGTGGCTTTCAAAGCTGTCATCTTTGCCTGTGCTTTTTTCTGGCTTTCTTTTTGTTCTCTGTATTAAAAAAATGCCTCAATGACCCTCTTTCACTTCACTTCTTTTCTTGCTGCCTTATCCCTAACCCCTCTCACCCTTCCATTCCTAGTCCCACTTCCATTGGGAAAAAAGAAAAAAAGAAAAACAAAGCCCTTGTAACAAGTATGTATAGTCAAAGAAAACAAATTTTCACATTGGCTGTGTCAAAAATGTGTATTTTATTTTGTATCTTGAGTACGTCACCTCTCTGTAAAGAGGTGGATAAATGGTTTCATCATTAGTCCTCTGGCACTGGAATTGATCATTGCATTGATCAGGAGTTGGGGGGGTGGGTATCTTAACTTGGTGTCCACAGACAGATTTTAAGGAATCTGCAAATTGTGAAGAGAGAAAAAAAATTCGTCTTAATCTTCACTAACCTCTAATTGTTATTTGGCATTTCCATCAATTGCAAATGTAGGCAACCAACATGATTCTCAGAAGTGATCCATAGGCTTCCCCAGACTGCCAGTGGGGTCCTTGGCACAAAAACCAGTTAAGAACCCCTCTTAGAAGTAGGTTCTCTTCATTTTCAAGGTCATAGAAATACTCAGATCCTTTGGTCAAGATAGATGAGTGATTTTCTCATCCCCATTCCACTCCCTACTTCTGCGTAACCTTGAGAAAACCATGTTACATTTTTGTGGTTTGGGTAACTGCTAAGTAAAATGGGCCTCATACTTGACCCTTGCCCACTTAAGCTGGCAGCTGTGAGGAGTGAGGAATGTGGGCAGATGTTAGAGGTCCTTGTGTACCACTATTAGACAATCAGCCATCAATACCCAGGGAAAGCTTATGATCAGAAAGGCTTATCACATTGTGAGACTGATGGGTAGGGGCTTTCCTTACTGGGCCTGAGAAAACCTTGGGGGTTTTCTTGAGAAAAGCACCATGTCAACTTTCATTTTCCATCTGGGTCCAGTCAAATGCTCTTTGTTTCCAAAGTCAAGAAAGTGTCATAGCTGACTCAGTTCAGCTACCACGTGAAAATCATAAACTTGAGTTAATTACTCCCCCAGCCCCACAACCCAGCTTCCTCATTATTTTCTTCTGTCCTCTGTCTTCCACCCTAACCTTAACATCAGGGTTTTTTTGGTCAGGAGTCCAGTCCTCTTCATTCTTGGGCAGGAGCTGAGTCTGGTCTACTACTTCCCTTTGTTTCGTCAGCCCAACTCATTGGATTTGCCTGAGTTGGAAATTGTTGAGTGATAAGGTGTGTCTTGTGGGGCTGGGATGAGATAGGAGATCATTTTGCCCTGAACAAGCTACTTAACCAAGAAGACACTGTGTGTGATAGCCCGGGGAAGTCAGGATAACATGGAATATAATATTTCCAACTCTGCTTCATGCCCTGGAGGAAGAAATTTGTTACATGTTATTTTAACAGGTTGATGCAAAAGTAAATAAACAGGGAGAAGGAGGCAGAGAGAGAGAGAGAGAGAGAGAGAGAGAGAGAGAGAGAGAGAGAGAGAGAGAGAGAGAGAGAGAGAGAGTTTTCAGTAAATAATGTTACAGTGGCCGGCAATTTAAAGGGAGTTGTTGGGAGAAGTGGTTTCTCAACAAAGCAGCTGGGTCAGGAGTATTAAGTGGGAGCTGAGAAGAGGAAGCAAGAGGACGGAAACAGTGAACTGTAGGTTTCCCAAGCCCACAGCCTCCCTCAGTCCTCAGCCCTCCAATGTTAGGACTGGATGTGGTTGGGGTCTTTAAGGGGCCATTTCCCCAACCCAGCTTGGAACACTCCTTTAAGTGGTCTTTAAGTTTGGCAGTACCTTAGGAAATGCCCTAGAGCTGACATGTAGCCTCGCAAAGGATAATAGATGTACGGTTATATCAAGAAGAGACTGGTTCCCCAGGGATTCATCCTGGGCTGTCAGAGAAAGGGTTTTGTTGTCTTATTGAAGAGCTGAATTATGATGCTGATTCCTTTATTTTTAATGTTCTTCGCTTGTTGTCCCCGCTTATGGTGTAATGCCTTGAATTCTGCATTGTCATCTCAGGGAGGGAGGGGGCTAATTGCTATAGGTTTAGTAATATGTCTTTCAAAGAAGATAAAGATAAGGACTGGAAAGAAAAGAAAGCTGGGGAGAAGCGAGGCCTACTGGGAAGAGAGGAAGTGGAATATTTTCTAGGGAAGTGTTTGAAATGTGGTGCCATTTTGTCATGATAAGATCTCTCACCATGTCACTTGTTCATTCTGTAACCTTAGTAAGTCATACCACTGGTCTCAATTTTCCCATCTGAAAAATGGTCATGATAGCATGTATTCCTTACTGACCTCAGGCTAGAACAACTGAATGGAAAAGTTAACTGCAAAATAATAATGGGGAAAGGACCTGGCATAGGGGACTGTCATATGAGAAAGCAAACACTTTCTCTGAAACTTGTAGTCTTAGAGATAGTTGCCTAATGGAGAGAAGTTTAAGTGATACTCCCAGGGTCACACAGCTAGTCCATGGCAGAGACAGAACCTGAACCCAGATCTTCCTGGTTTTGAAGCCAAATCTATCCACTATGCCACACTTACTCTCAAAAGAATAACAGCTAATATTTGTATGGTGGTCTAAGTTTTGCAAAATACTTTACATCTATTATGTCATTTAATCTTCACAATAACCTTATGAGATGGTTGCTATTATTATTCCATTTGACAGATAATAATAAATAATAATAGTTAACATTTATAGAGTGCTTACTATGTGCCAGGCATCATGCTTAGTGCTTTATCATTATTATCACATTTGATCTTCACAGCAGTTCTAGGAGGTAGTTGCTATTATTATCCCCCTTTTTTTTTTGAGGCATAAAATGTTTATTAACCACTTAAGTGCCAGGGATACAAATACAAGCAAACAAGACAGTTCCTGTTCTCAAGTAGCTTACATTCTTTTTTTTAAATATTAATTTATTTTTAGTTTTCAACATTCACTTCCATAAGCTCTTGAGTTTTAAATTTTCTTCTCCTCCCTCCCTGCCTCCCTCCCCAAGATGGCATGCATTTTGATATAGGCTCTACATATACATTCCTATTAAACATATTTTCACATTAATCATGTTGTAAAGAAGAATTAAAACCAGTAGGAGGAACCACAAGAAAGAGGAAACAAAACAAAACAGAAGAAAAGAGGAAAAAAAAGAGCAAGTAGTGTGCTTTGATCTGCATTCAAATTCCATAGTTCTTTCTCTGGATGTGATTATCCCCATTTTATAGGTGAGGAAACAGAAACTGAGGTGGGATTTGAACTCAGGTCTTCCTGACTCTAGACCCAGCACTCTATGCACTGTGTCAAGCTGTCTTTCAGGCAGGAGGTCCTTAGCTACAAAGAACCAGACAAGAGCAAAGTATTCTTCTTCTGATGATTTGTTTTCTTCTTCTTGTGTGTCCCCTCCACTGTCATCAACTAGGTATGACTTCATTGAGATTCGAGATGGGGACAGTGAATCTGCAGACCTCCTGGGAAAGCACTGTGGGAACATTGCCCCTCCCACCATCATCTCCTCGGGGTCAGTGCTCTACATCAAGTTCACATCTGATTATGCCCGGCAGGGCGCTGGCTTCTCACTGCGCTATGAGATCTTCAAGACAGGTCAGTGATGCCCCAAGTGGAGATACAATCCTATCAGAGACCTCATTACCTCTAACCAGAGCTTGGCAGACTTGGGAAACCCGGGGAGGGGAGAGGGTGCAAGCCTGAAAGGGAAGATGGGAACCCAGGGGACATTTCCTCAAGTCATCTCCCAAGGGAAGGGGCTCTAAGTCATGTGGGTGGGAGTATGTTATTTTCTGCAAAGGTGATAGAGGAAAGAGAGGTATAAGGTGATAAGGATGAAACATGTTTTTTTTCTGGTGACCTATTCAAGAAAAGTAATGGGCAGAATGTGGTTTTCTAAGCAATTTTTTTAAAAGATCTTGCCCATCTACAGAAATCTCATTCATCCCCCAGAATTTGTGTTGGGGACCATTTCCATTTATCATCTCCAAGGCAGTGGAGTGAAATGGAAAGGAGTCAAAAGGCCTGGGTTCCAGTCCTGACTGCTAGTCTGTGTGTTCTCAGGGAAATCATTTCCCATCTGTGGGCCTCAGTTTCCTCATCTGAAAAAAACGACCAGTTGACCTCTGAAGCCCCTTCCAGCTCTCAGTCCATGGCCTATGAACCCTTGCTGAGAGAGCACCAACATCTATCCACAGCAGCCCCCCTCATTCTCCCCCTTCCCATTCCCAAACACATCTAGATTGCTGTGAAAACCAATCAGAAAGGTGTAGGAAGGAGAGGCAGAGAGGATTACATTTCTTAGCACTTGGCACCTGGGTCTCCCTTTGGTTTCCTGGTTTCTTTTTAGACCCCCAGCAGTCTGGGCTGGCACTTGATTTCATGGCTGATGTAAGGAAGTTTTCCTTTCTCTTCCCTCTTCATTGATTCAGCTCCCGTATTTAAGTACCCCAAGCAAAGGCCTTTTTCTGTATGGCCCTCGTGGCTCTCTTTAAGCCAAGGAGGAGTGATACTTGTCCCTCCAGAGCTCTCTGCTCACACACTTGCCCTACTTCCAATAGGCCAGTGGCATCCTCTTGCATAGCGATGATGCATTTCACTTCTGGGGGTTTTGTGACTGGCATAGTGCTAGGCAAAGAAGTGGCTTTGTCATAGAGGGGAGAAAGCCAGGTGCCTCCGGAGTTCAGTGCGAGGGGAACTATTCAGCAGTATTTTCTTTTTTACCAAATAGTTCTTGAAAGGAAGTGGTAGCTGCTGAAAGCACTTTTTATGTCTTCTCTGTCTAAATATTTGTCAGATTTGTCTGCATGAGAACAAGAATTTGCAACAAAATAAAGGGGAAAGCTATGTGAGTGAGCAGAAGCATAGACTATCACAGGGTGTGAGTAAGGGGACAAACTTGCTCCTGAGGAGGTTAATGGCCTGTGGTGGTCAGCCCTAGACCTAACTGAAGGGAGATAAGAATGCAGCAGGGCCCCAACATACTTTATGGCTGAAAGCAGGCCTGGCTCTAGCCTCTTGGAAATAACATCATCAGTATCATCCTGAACCCTCCTTAATTTTGGAAAGCAAGCTGGGATCAACAGAAATAGGTCAGTCACCAGCACTCAAAAATTGCACTGGGCAAAGTTTGTGTAGGAAATAGACACACAGGGGCTAAGGGGTGGAATGATGTAAGGTGACTGCAGTTAAGGCAGACAGAAGAAGTCAGATAGTTATTGATAGCTTCTGGTTTTACATCAACCCATTGAACCATCTCTTGTGACAAAGAACAGATAAAGTAAAAGTTAAGTCAACATGCGTTTATTAAGTGCCTACTGTGTTCCGCACTTGGGATACAAAGTAAAGCAGAAGACAGTCCCTGCTGTCAAGGGGCTTACAGTCTTATTGAGAACAATAACAGTTAAACAAAACCAACCAACTTAGTCACTGATCTGACAGCATATTCACTGTTCACATTCCTAGCTCCTCGGCTCTGCAAAGAAGGGAAGGTGGTACATTGTCTTGAGGGCCAACCTTCTTGGTTATTATAATTACACAGTGTCCATCTTGGTGTCATTTTCTGCATTTATATTATTATAATACTTGTGAAGAATCTAGATGGTGCAGTGGATAGAGCACAGGGCCTGAAGTCAGGAAGAACTGAATTCAAATAATGAGCTCAAATGTTAGCTAGCTGTGTGTCCTGGGCAAAGCAGTTAACATGCGTCTGCCTCAGTTTCCTCAATTGTAAATGGGGACAATAATATCACCAATCTTCCATGGTTATTGTGAAGATCAAATGAGATAATGTTTGTAAAGTCCTTAGCAAAGTGTCTGGTACAGTTTTTCTTCAGTTTTTTTTTTGGAGGCAGTTGGGGTTAAGTGATTTGCCCAGGGTCACATAGCTAGCAAGTGTCTGAACTAAATTCGATTTGAATTCAGGTTCTTCTGACTCCAGGGCTGGTGTTCTATCCACTGCACTACCTACCTGCCCTGGCATCTGGCACATAGCAGGCACTTAATAAATGTTTCCTTCCTTCCTAATTGTGGGGATTGTTTTCCTGGTTCTGCTTACTTTATCAGATATTCATCAGTCTATATAAGTCTTCCCATGAGAAATAGATAATTTGAGGACTGGTTTTCACCATTCTTAAGCTTTGGATATTACTGTAGTCTCAGAAATCCTTCAAACCAAAATAAATTTGCATTCACGTCAGTTTTAAATATAAAAGAGCACAATGTGTCCCTTTTCTGGTGAAGGGGTTAGTCAACAGAAGGAAGGAAAGGCGTTTGTCGGGAAGTCAGATCCAAGGCTGAGGGTCCTGCAGGTTGAGTGTCATTGTTTAAGGACCCACCACAGCACGACTTCAAATGCTGTAGCACATCTTTGGATTGCTAGGACACAGTTGTGGAGACCTGAATTCAAATCCTACCTGAGACACTTACTAGCTGTGTCACCCTGGGCAAGCCAAGTAAACTTTCTGTACCTCAATTTCCCCACCTGTATGATGGGGATATTAATAGAACCTAGCTCATAGAGTTACTGTGAGGATAAAATGAGATAACATACCCAAAAACCACCCTTAACGGGGTATGTAAATACTAGCTATAAAAATTTTTTTAAAAAGAAATAAATGCTAGTTATAGGTAGTTTTTAGGTGGTGAAGCACTTGAAGTGGACCTCTGGTCATGCAAATGTCAGCAATACAAAAAGGTCACCAAGTCACTCACTGGACCTTCCAGTCCCAAATGTGGGCACAGTAAGGTCATCAGGGTAACATCCCTGAACCCCAAATCCAGGTGCACAGACACATGGCTCTGCTGGGTACAAAATGAAGAAGAGTTGAAAATCCATCGAGGTGCCAGGCCTTATGCCCATGTTTCCACTGCTGGTGTCCTGGGGGAAAAACACACACACACACACACAAAGTTTACGTCATCAACTGAACATGAAAGAAATGCATGAATATACTGAAGAAATCCAAACAAACACCGCTCTGTTTGCTGCCTAGTATTCTTCAAAGAGAGCGAGAGGGGGAAACTGTAAACAGAGATATACAAATAGCCATACCAGAGGGCTTTGGAACCCAGCGACAGTATATTATACCATTAGAACACTAGTGAAGAAATATACCAAGAGAGATAAACTCACAATTTCAGTGCAGACAGGGAACATTGTGATGGGTCTGGGAGTTTCATGTCTGGCTCCAGCTGAAGTGGGCTATAAGAGATCATATATCACTTGATCCGTTTTTTTTTATTCTCTCTTTTTAAAAAAAATTTATTTATTTTATTTTTAGTTTATGAAATAAATCAAGCATTTCCATAACATCAGATTGGTTATCTGCATAGAAGGTTAGCAGGAAGAAAATCTTGCAAATTTGAAAATGAGATACTCCATCATGGTAGAAACAGCAGCAGAAATTTCAAGTATCATTTTTTTAAAATCACTGTTGGAAACCAAAAGATTTAGAGGTTCATTCCTCTCCTGCTGTCTCTTGAACTTGAGTTCAAGGTCAAGATGCCTTTCTTGGAACCTAGTGATGGCTAAACTTAGCATTTCAGCTGTAACATGTAACTAGGGGAATCCTAGCACCTTTGAGTTGAGGGGATGAGTGGTCTCGGTTAAGTTTCTTTTTCAATATATATCTTTTAGTTTGGCTTTTAGTTGGAAAACTTCTCTAGAAAAAGCTCCAGATACTTTTGGAAACCCTTGTTTAGGTTTTTCTGCTTTTGGGACTGCTGTTCCAATTACACAGCAGCTAGGAAATCGTGCTGGGCTAAAGCTGTTCGGAAAGAAGTAGCTCTCTGCTGGAGATACCACTTAGTTTCCCTGGCAGATCTTTGCATGCAGTGGAGAGAAGGGTGTCTGGTCCATCTGAATCCCTTTGATTTAAGAGTTAAGGAAGACCTTAACTTTAGTCCTGAGAAAGCTTATATTTTTTCTGGTGTCTGACTTAAGTGGATAGAGAGCTCCCTTCAGAGCTAAGAAAACCTGGTTTCAAGTCCTGATGCCCACCCATACCGGCTGTGTGACCTTTGTCCGGTCACTTAACCTCTAAGTATTCTAGGCAACTCTAAAGACTGCAAAGAAGGCGCTGACCTACAATAGTAGGAGTATTCTAAGGCACTTGGGAGTTCCCCATGGCAATGAAATCATGGGTCCAATCCCCATCCCTCTGATTTGTATTGAACATTCAGTATGCCTTCCTTTCTGGTATTCCGGCCAAACCCAGAGCAACAGGCAGGTTTCAAGATGCCATCAAGGGTTAGGCACCCACTATTTAAAAGAAAAAGGCCTGGTTGCTGTGGCTGTTGTTGCTGTTATTGTCTAATGTTATCCTGGTATCTACCTGCACTAGGATCTCTTCTGAGCTAGGGGCAAGCTGATGGAAGTAATAGCCCTGGGGCAGAGACACGCCTTTCCTTTGAGTGCCCAAACACAATCTTCTGGGAATCAAATGTATTTTAGAATCTTTCCTCTAGTCTTTTGTTTTGAAACAAAAGGAGCAAGCATGGGCAGGAGATGGGGGCTGTGGTTTGGAAAAGAGTGTGTTTGTGGTGATGCTGCAGAGGAACAGGAAGGAGGGGGTGTTTTCAGGAACCTTCTTTGAAACTGTTGGTAATTTCAAGCGAAATTTCCCTCTTGTGTGAAGCATCTGATGGGACCAGGGATTTTGCTTTAATTCCCTGCTCCCAAGGGAAATTCCAGTCCTCTTTAAAGAGAATTACAGTAAGGGTAGGCTCTAGGAGGGAAAGTCAATACTCCTCCCCTGGCTCTCAAAGCTGACCTGCAGGTTGAGAATGGAGATTTAATTTTCTCCCTGCCACGCATGTGGCCCTGCCAGCCGGCCTATAAGGGGAGGCAGCTCAGCAGCAGCTAAACCCTAACCTTTTCAAAATTCCTCTCGGACCCCTTGAAGATCTGCCAGCTGGCTGTGCTCTGCTGGGCTGCCCTGGATCTCATCACACTGGGCGAAGCAGGCGGCCAACCGAGGAAGCGCTACCGGAGCCCAGGATGACAGGAAACAAAGACAGGGCAGAGGATGGCTTAGCTGGTCTGGCTTCATGCTCCAACAGCCCAAGGGCTTGCCCAGTTGGTATGAATATCCATGACTGATGGAGTGAGTGCAGAACCTCTGAGCCACTGTGGTTAGAGATAGAACTCCAAAGAATTAAGAAAAGGTTCCTTCTGAGGTCTTTGTGGGTCCAGGGTCCCCTGCCCTGCCAATCTGCTGCAGTGGGTAGGGGAGAGGGTGAGGGGTGTGTGTGTGTGTGTGTGTGTGTGTGTGTGTGTGTGTGTGTGAGAGAGAGAGAGAGAGAGCGCGCGCGCGAGTGCATTTCCTTTTCAATTTTAAAGAAAAGGACATTTCTTTCTCTCCGATGCACATTTGCATGGCGCCTTTTAAAAAGTCAGACATTCTCTGCTTTCCAGAGAACCATCATCAATAAAGATACTAGTGAACCGGCCTGCTAGGGAGCCTCAGATAAAGACATCGCCACAGGCTAAGATCAGGTTATTGACACCACATAGTTATATTTCTGTGCAATCCCCAGAGGACACTTCCTTGCCAGTAAACACCTGGTTTATTGAATATTTCTGTGTTTTTCCTCCATGCTTGCAGTGTGTATGATTCTCTTCATAAATCCAGCTTACCTTTTTATCTGAGCTGAATGCAATCAATTCTAATTGCTTAGCATTTGTATTCAGTGTGTTGCTAGATAACTTGTGTTGGCTCTGCTATGTTTGCCACTGTGCATGCATATGTGTGTGCACGCGCACCTGTTTGTGTGTTGTTTTTGTTGCTGCAGCCACAGTGGTGCCACGCTGTCAGATTGGGAGAATTGGTGGCTCTGTTTGGCTGCAGCAGGAGACTTAGTCCTGTCGATGCTTACATTTTTCCTGCTATACAGGACGACTCCACCTAGAGGCTTTAAGGGGTAGATCGCTGTTGCTGTCCAAAGCCATACCAGCACAGGAATGTGTGCTGCATATAATGAGGAGAACTCCATCCTTTCTAGGAAGGCACCAGCAGGGACCTTACCAGTCATCTCTATCATGCAGAAATTAGACACTTTCCGAATGATGTCTTTCTCCAGACAGTGGTGGAAAGCCTTTAACGTCCCTTATACCCTGCTGTGATTCAGCGGCTAAAAACTCCAATTGTTAATTGTCTGATCACTACAGAGCAACTAGTTTTAATATGGTCATGACATGAATGGGGACCCAAGCTCCCCTTTGCCCCTCCCCTGAGGCACCTTGGATCTCAGTGGAGAGAGGGGGGCACTTACTTGGCTACGGTACAATGGAGGCCAGTGTTGAGGTCAGCAATAAATAAGTAGTAACATTGTTTTCCCTGCTGGCAATCAGAAAGCCTTCCTTAAGGATTGAAATAACTTACATTTCTGGAGCAGGCAGCTGAGTGGAATGAGAAAGGAGACTCTGTTCTTCTTTTCAACAGAATTCACACACATACACACATACACACACAAATGCACATACACATACACTTCTCTCTATCCCCCAAAATGTTTTAGTTGTTGTTTCCCTGAGATGTAGATCAGGCCAGATGTTTCTCCCCTTGGTCTGTGCTTGAGAAGAACCGGTTTGGGGGCTTTAATTGTGGGTGCTGAGAGGGTGTTCTCCAAGGATCTATCCAATGCAAAACATTGAGACTTTGACCCAAACATTTGGGTTTTCAAACGCAGCAAAGAGAGACCACTTTTTAAAAAAGTGTTGCAATTCTTTCTTACTTCTAGGCTCTGAAGATTGTTCAAGAAACTTCACCAGTTTGAATGGTACCATTGAATCCCCTGGGTTCCCTGATAAGTACCCACATAATCTGGACTGTACCTTCACCATCTTAGCCAAACCCAAGATGGAGATCATCCTTCAATTTATGACCTTTGACCTGGAGCACGATCCATTGCAAGTGGGAGAAGGTGACTGCAAATATGATTGGCTGGACATCTGGGATGGCATTCCTCATGGTGAGTAATGATGGATTGTAGATATTTTTCTCAGTAGATTGCCCTCTGTCTGCAAATCACCTCAGTAACACCAAAAAGAAAGAAAGAAAGAAAGAAAGAAAGAAAGAAAGAAAGAAAGAAAGAAGAAAGAAAGAAGAAAGAAAGAAAGAAATCAAGGATTTTAAAACTATAAAGAATTCTCTAGTGCTAATTCAAAGGGTGATGACCCGTTGTTCTCAACTAAAGACAGGAGAGATGGTAGAAGTTGTCCTGTCTTCTACCCTGGGATTCTTTGAGAATTAGATAGACACTATATTTTCAGGCTAAGTTAGAGGAAGTTTGTGTGGAGACGAGAGTGAGCCAGACAAGATGGTGACACTAGAAAAGAGTTCTACCTCTGAAAGTCAGAAGACTTAAGTTCAAATCCCACTTCTTAGACTTACTGTCTTTGTGACCTTGGACACATCACCCAAACTCCTTAAGTCTCAGTTACATCATCTATGAAATGAAAGAGTTCAAAACCTTACTTTAACATGTAATTGGGGAAAAATAAAATATCGTTTAAAAAATAAAATACAATGAAAGGGTTGAACTAGGTAGCCTTTGAGGTCCCTTCTAACTCAAGATCAATGACCCACTAACTTCAATAGGGTCTTTCCAACTCTGTGGGTCCAGGGTTTCCACATAAGATGACTCCTCTCCAATTAGAAGTTGTACCCAAACAGAAACATATAGTTGTAATCATTCTTGCTTATAGGTGCTAGGGATGCTCTTTACCCATCACAGAATGGGAGCAGCTTTTTTTCAAAGAGATGCATATAGGCTGGGGGTAAGTCCATAGAATGTGATTGCTGAGCAAGAAAGACCATTCTTACATTTTGCTTTTCAGTTTATACTTTGTTCTAGTAAGGCAGATAGAGTGATTGCATATTGAGTTAACTAAAATGAGTTGAGAAGAGGAAAATTATGTGATCGGCAGGAAGTTTGCCATTTCCTTTCCACTGACCTCTCTCTCCCCATCTCCCAGTGGGTCCTCTGATTGGCAAATACTGTGGAACTAAAACTCCCTCGAAGCTCCGATCTTCAACCGGTATCCTCTCTCTGACCTTCCACACTGACATGGCAGTGGCCAAGGATGGGTTCTCAGCACACTACTACTTAATTCCTCAAGAAACACCTGAAAGTGAGTTGGAAATCTTGGCGTTTTATGGATATAATACTTGTCATGATATAGCCCATTACTTTTTACAAAAACTTTCCAGTTTTGAGCATGCACACTTGAACATATACATCTGGAACACATATAAATCAAATATAAATCTGCTGGGGCAGAGTGAAAGGGACATCATGTAGCCATGGGGTTAAGGATGTGGTAGATTCTGGTTCAGTTTTCTCTTCAAAGAAAAAGCATCTAGAATGAGGATTCTCAACCTTTTTTGGTCCCTATATCTCTTGGTTTTTCTGTGCTCCCTATTCATTACAAAAGGAAATAAAATCTAGAGCATTGGTATGGAGAGTCAGCCATCGAGCCAAGAAGATCTACATTCTCTGACCCATGTTGGCTGGGTGACTCTGTTTTTTTAAAATGTTTTAATTTATTTTAAATTTATGGAATAAAACAAGTATTTCCATAATATGGTACAATAAAAAAGATGATTGCAAATGAAACTGAAAATCTATTATGTACAACTTGCTATTTCTTTTAAATATATAATAAAGTTATCACATAAATTTTTTTTCCCTTTTTTTCCTTTGTGACTTAGCCTAGTGACTTAGCTCTCAGTGGTCTAGGCCAATGGTGTCAGACTCAAAAATAAATGTCCCTGTAGGCTGCATATTGACTTAGAAAACCACAAATTAACATTGTCTATGTTTTATTGTATTTTTATTTATTTTGTTAAACATTTTCCAATTTACATATTCATCTGGTTCTGGCCAAGGTGTCATAGACACCTTGGGTAGGTGACTCTTTAAGAATGAGTTGCAGAAAAGGTGCTGTTCTGTATTGGTAGAATTTCATCACTTCAGAGTTCCCTATGTTAATGAAATCACAGGTCTAGTACCTATGCTTTATACACATACGAAATAAAGAGCTTATGAACAAGACTGAGCATCCTGATTCTCAGAGATGCATCATTATAAATATAATTAGAGCCTTCTGAAATATTTGAACATCATAATATTGATTAAATATTCCTGTACCACCTTGACAAGCTTCTTGTACCCTCAAGGGTATGCATACTACAGATGGGGAACCTCTGACCTAGAGCCTTTCACAACTGTGTATGTGAGAAACTTTTGGCTTTGTATTGCTGAGGACCCTTTTTGGCTTTAGGTAGGACATCCCCAGAAGGGACTTATGGGAAACCTTAGTCGTCTTTAGTCTAAAGTACTGAACTGACTCTACAGAAAATGATTTGTTATCTTTCTTGTCATGTACACATTTGGCTTCCTTCAAGGCTTAACTATAACTCCACCCTATACAACAAACCATTCCCCATTCCTCTTTATTGCAGCACCTTCCTTCTGTTGATTATTTCCAGTTCATCTTATATATAGCTTATTTCTATGTAGTTTTCTGCATGTTGTTTCCCCCATTGGACCATGAGCTCCTTGAGAGCTTTACCTGACAGTGCCTGGCATCTAGTAGGCAATTAAAAAATGTTTATTTACTAATTGACATAGAGAAACTTCTGGAGTTGAGCTTTTAAGAAAAAAGAAGTAACCAATGCTTTAAAGACCCACAAAATTCACAAATTACAGTGTTGTGGAATGGCCAATGTCTGTTCCCTTATCCAAGCAAGAGATTGGGTAGGTTGGCCTGCAGTAATCAGAAGCCAGGATGGCTCTTTTCAACCAGAGGTGCTCAAACTGGGCAGCAAATACAGAATCATAGACTATAAACAGCAACAAGCTTTATAAATGGTGGTTGCAACCACAGCACTAAAGGATGCTGTTTTTAACACATGGGGAAAAGATTGTTGGTTCTTTAGAAGCCATAACCTTGTGTGCACTAGCAGCAGTCATTATTGGTGGCATCTATATAGAAAGGGAAGCAATTTTTTTTTTCCACCACAGAAGCAGGAGCAGAGAAAGTAACTACTAGGTCTCCTTTCGTGGATGTATGGGGCAGAAAAAGGTGGGTTTTTTTGAGTAACACGTGTCATATGGAGAGTTCTTTCAAATTTCAGATATATTTGTGTACTATGACATCTGCCTTTTGTGTCAGAAACTAAGAGATTAAGAAAAAAAGAGGAAAGCAAGTAGGAAGAAGGAAAGGAAGGAAGGAAGGAAGGAAGGAAGGAAGGAAGGAAGGAAGGAAGGAAGGAAGGAAGGAAGGAAGGAAGGAAGGAAGGAAGGAAGGAGGGAAGGAAAGAAAGAAGGAAACTTCCCATGTGTATGCTACTAAAGTTGCATTTGCAAGATACATCAGCCCATTCAAATTGTTTCCACTCTTTTCACATGTACTTGTACTGCTGTAATAATGTATCTTCTGGCAACAGTGAGCATCAGTAGCCTGAAGTAGGAGCCAACTTGGTGCTATTATAAACTGTATTTTCAATTTGTATTATAGTTCTTATTATCCATAGACTGGTTTCTTTTATGGCTAATTTAGTTTCTTTTGAGCCCAGCAGGGGCAAGGGTGGACAGTTGTCAACCTGAATGTTGTTTTTAAGATATAGTTCTCCAGACCCAAGAGTCTTGTTCTGGGATTTGAAGAGGATTTTGTGACTTTCTTTGGTTTGGGATGGAGAGCCCTCGTTTTGCTTTTTGACTTTCTCAATATACCTGTGTGCCCCAGACTTCCAGTGCAATGTTCCTTTGGGGATGGAATCTGGCCGGATCTCCAATGAGCAGATTAGTGCCTCTTCTACCTACTCTGATGGGAGGTGGACTCCCCAGCAGGGTCGGCTGCATGGTGACAACAATGGCTGGACCCCCAACGTGGATTCCAACAAGGAATATCTCCAGGTACTTAGCCCAGAGGACATGTAGATTAAGCCTAAATCCCAATTAATACTACAGAGAAAAGGAACATTGAGTTATATAGGGACACCGGACCTTGGAAAAATTGTTTTCCCATTCAACAACAATGGCAGAGATATTACACTGGGTTATATAATGATATCTAAGGAAATTTTCCGTAAGTTGACCCAAAGCTCCCTCAACCATTGCACAGAGAGACTCCTGAGAATGGGCATTCCCTTATCTAGATGGTAGCTCAGCATGGTAGGAGCTGCTTTGGTGGGAACCTCACCATGAACGCCTTTTTCATGTCACTAGTCGATCACCACAACTGGGGAAAACCTTACTACTGGGATGAAGCCTGGGTTGGTCAGTCCCTTCACTACAGCTCTCAAGATTGCAATTTTCTTTCCCCTTAGAAAAAGGCTTGCAGTTAATGCTATGTAGCCAGCCCTTGCAACAAAGAGGTGACCTAATGTGGCCCCTTGGAGAGAGGTCAGCTAGGCAAGGGAATGCTGTGAGTTCCAAGCAGGGGCACCTCATGCTTTTATGGCTCACGACAGCCTTGATTTCCCATTGACATGTCAGCACAAGTTCTGAGGTGACCTTGTGACCCCTGGCTCACGATGGACTTTGCAGAACCCACAGTGGCCAGAAATGGAGAGAGAAAGACTAGTTAGAAATATTGGGAGTCTACAATGGCTCTGACAGCTGGCATACCAACCAGCGTGAACACAACCAGCATGAATACATCTATGGGGCTATTCTTCTGAAAACACTGAATGCCTTCCCTCTTCTTCACTGCTTGTCCATTCCCTCCTCATCCTTCAAAGTCCAGCTCAGCTCTCACCTCCTCCATGAAGCCTTCCTTCACCACCCCCATCCTCTGAATTCCCACAGCATCCACTGCTAGCCCGGTTCATTTGGCTACTTTCCACATACAATCTCATTGTTCCCTAAATTCTTCTTCTGTGTCCCTTAGTCTATGAGCTCCTTAAGAACTCCCCGATATGTTTTTTGGTAATCTCTAGGGCTTAGAATTGCTAAACAAATAGTAGATACACAGAAAACATTTGCTGAGTTGAATTCCATCGAAATGGCATACACTGGCTAAATTTTGCTCACTCAAGAAAAAATGGATTTGGCATCATGGACAAGTAGATGCTTTAAAGGGTTGGGCACACACTTCTTCCAATAAATGTAAAATGGAACAGAATTTTGATTCTTTAGGCTGGCACTTTCTGCATAAAATTTGACCCTTTAGTGACCCACAGAATTAATGGAGAAGGAGCTATATTGGGGAGGGAAGAAAGGCAGGGATATTGGACATGATGATTTATCCACTTGGATTGGATTTATCCACTGCTGTATTAAGATGGTGTTCATTAGCAATGGTCTCCCGCAGTTTGGTTAATAACCCAGTAATGTTAATATTAGAGCAATCCTGTGCCATTGGTCTGTTTTTTACTCAAAAGCATCTTATTCTCTATTGTTCCCTGCAACCAAAGAAAGATTACCCCAAAAAAAACAAAAAAAGAACAAAATTTGTCTCATCAGTGTGACTAATTTAATGCCAAATAGTTATGTTTGGTTATGAAATTAGATTCGAGACTGGCAGTAACCACAGTGGGCCATAGGCACTGGGACACATTACTGGTGTGTCAGCCAAGGAAGTAGAAAGAAAGGCAAGATGATGTCCTGTTATGACTGTAGCAGTGTCTCCCTCTCCTTATCCATCTTTAATGCCCCACAGGTGGACCTACGTTTTCTGACTATACTTACAGCCATTGCGACCCAGGGAGCCATCTCTCGGGAAACGCAGAATGGCTACTACGTCAAATCCTACAAGCTGGAAGTCAGCACTAATGGTGAAGACTGGATGATGTACCGGCATGGCAAAAACCACAAGGTAAATCTATTTCCCCACCTCAAATGCGCTCTTGAACTGAAAGAAGGAGAAAAGAGTGGGGAGGAGGGGAGAAAAGAGAACCTAGGATAAACTTCACCTACTGGAATATGCTTTGTTTTGTGAAGCTCAAATAATTGATTGGTGGGTAGGGAGAAGGGAGGGGTGGAGGGAGCTGGGAGGGATAGACCAGCCCTGAAAATCCTCTTTCTTATGCTAAAGTGATTGGAAAACACAGTTTCTCAGACAACCTGGCTGGTGTTGCATCTCGCACAGCAGAGAGAGCCTGCAGTATGTTCTCTGACTGCAAATGAAGGAGAAAATGCTTTCACAGCCCATGTTTCACCATACAAGATTCATTGAGCATTTATGGCCGGAGCCCCGTCCACATGCTGGGTTAACAATCACAAAGCCACATGTAGCTGCAGTTCAGGAGTTACTGAGGCCTGGAAATGAAAGGGCACAAATCCTAAGAGGGGACCACAATGTCCCAGACAATAAAGAAGACAATAAATAACGAGGAGAAATTTGGTGTGTCAGAGAGTTGGAATCTGTGATAGCAATCACACTTGGCAGTGATGCATTGAACCTTCTCTGCTTGTGCCCACTCCAGCTGCAGTTCCCGGAGGTGTGGCCTGTGTGAGGGTTTTTAGTTTTCTGTTGTGCATATGGATGTCTGACACTCGGCTTCCTTAGGACACATGGCGCACTGTCTGCGAGCTGCCCTTCATATGGCTCTGTAGATATGGTGGTGTACAGTATGTTTGGCAGGAGGCATACTTTGCTGAAAACAAAGCATGCTTTTTTTTTGCCCGGGGGACAGGACTGGAAAGGGCAGAGGGCAACCTAAGGATTGTGGTGCCATAAGGCAAGTTCAACTGTAGATCATCATGGCGGGGTGGGGTGTGGGGACTGGCTCTCTGAATCATCATGGGGGAGAAGAAGCTACTTATTTTTCTTTATGACTTTATTTATCCCTGGGGGTGGGGAGGAGAGTTAAGGAGGAGAAGAAAGTCCTTTTCTTTCCTCCCCATCAAGTAGGATTATAGTTTTAGAGCTAAGGAACCTTAAGGCTACCTAGTCAAACCCCCTCATTTTACAAATGAGGAAACTGAGTTCTGGAGAGGTAAAGTAACTTACCTGAGAGCCACACCAGTAGAAAGCAAATTCTGTGACCTCCAATCCAGATTTCTTTTTGACATATGACACTATGATGCCTCAGCATTTGGGCATGCATGGTCTGCACAAACCATAGAAAATCACTTCACTAAGTTGGACTTGGTCTTCTCATCTTTAAAATAAGAGGAATGGACTATGTGGTGTCTAAGGTGCTTTCTGACTCTAATGATTGATAACCCTATGAAATCCTTCTCTTGTTCTGGCTACAAAACACTGAAATGAGTAGTGTCCAAGCCATACTAAAAGAGGAAGACCAATGACGTCCTTATAAAAGATGTCCCAGGATGTGATTTCTATCTCCCTGCACCCAGACCTCGGGGAAGGTGAAGCAGTAGGGCATATGCCTGTGCTCATACAACAGAGACACACTTTGAAACCAGGAATTCTTGGACTGGGGTGGGGGGGTGGGGGTGTAAAGCCGGGAACTATAGTCAATAGGACACTGGAGTTTGCAAGTTAAATGACTTGGGTTTGAATCCCTAAACTACTACTTGGGTAACCTCACTCCTCCTCTCTGATTCTTAGTTTCTTTATCTATACAATGAATAGGTTGGATTAGAGCATCTCTGAGGTCCCTTCCAGCTTAAATGAGAAAAAGGCTAACTGCCCTGGAGATGGATGGGGGATGTCAAACCAGGGGGCTGCATTCACTCATCTCCTTACCTTTTTCCTCTCCATTCTTCCCTCATCACCTTGTTGTTAGAACCAAGAAGCGTATGGGTCAGGTGAGTAAGGAACAGCAAAATGCTTGAGGTGGATCTTGAAGAGAAAGGATTTGGGTCACCTGACTGAGTCCAAGTCCAAGGCTCCATGACTAAGCAGTGCTGGCAAAGGGGATACTATACCATGAGCTGATTTTAAAAGCATGCAGATGGATCTGGATGCTATTTAAAACACCATTTGTAGGAAATCTGCTTTTGGAAATGCCTTAGTACTGCATATTTTGATAGGATGCGGTCCTCTCTAGCTGTAGCCATAGTGGCCATTCTACAGGGAAAACATGACTAATACCCAAATTCAACCATGAGTGTTCTTCCAATTCATTTTTCTTCTTTTTAAACAATTTTTTTACAGAAATTATCTCAATTTATGACTCTCTCTGTCCTTTAGCCCTAGCCCCCAGATCTCCTACTTCTATTACAGGCTTGGGGATCTTCACAAGAGGTCCCTCCTCCTCATGCTAGTGGAGTTTTAGAACTCTTCTGTATATGAGTTATCTCCAAATCAAGTGAGGAGGTCAGTGGGGCAGACAGGGCAGAGATGGGGGGGTGAGGATGAGCCCTTTCATCTCCCCACTTAAATTCATCTGTCGACTATCTAGAAATAGCTGCATTATTGCAAAGGCTTCTGGTCCCCATGAGCTCCATCGCCTAACTCAGTTGGTCAGGCGGTAGAGACCGATCCCTGCTCCCTTTTCAATGGTAATCTCTGCTGTTCTTTCATTAGGAAAACTCCCAGATGTCTGTATTTAATGTGCAGATTCCACACGGCTCATGGTGCGTCAGTGCCGTACTCTGCACGGTTCAGGCTGAAATAGTTGAGTGAACCGTGCCAAATAGATTTCTCAAGTCTGCCGCAGTTTGATTTGGTGCCATGAGGGAGAGGGGGGCGGTGAGGAGGGGAGGTGGTGGGGTTGGTAGAGAAGCAGGGGTGGAGGCTTGGGTGTGAGACTAGGGGTGTGTGTGTGGTAGTGGGGGGAGAGTGAATGGGTGGGCTCCATCTCTGCATACACGTGCATCTTTCTCCGTCAGCCCCCAAGAACCACCTCCTGAGTTCCTCCTTGCTGCCTGTGGATGGATGGGCACAGCGCCAACTGAATTGTGCTAAGTGGTGGGCTCGAAAGAAAAATTCAGGCAGCAGAGCCTGTGAGAGCAGCAAGCTGAAGATGGAGCATCCTGTTTGCTCTAGCATGTGCTTAAAATGCCCTCCCTGGGCATGGAGTGTGAACAGGGGAATGTGACGTTTTCTGGGAAAATTTGGGAACCAGCCCGCGATTTCCCTAGTTACTGTCAGCACTGAGGCAGCCTAGTAAAGTCAAGGGAATAAGGAAACCGAGAGGAAAATAAGACTGATGAGTGCTCTGGGCAGTGGGGGGGATGGACAGCTGTATTGTTTCCTTGCAAAACACCATTTGTGAGTTGGAGGTGGAAGGAAGGCTGAGGCTGATAGTAGAACAGTTACCATGTTGCTAGGGGAGGGCAGGACCAATCAGAGCCTTCTTACCTTCCCATTGGCCAGCAAATCTGTCACCCTCCATTCAACAGGTGATGGTATGCTTCCTAAAGACAAAAATGACTAACTTGGTTGGAGCATTTCAAGCATCTTCCAGCAAGATGTAGTGCACATGTGTAACACAACCTCAGATTCTTGTCTGACTCTATATGCAATGAATGTGAAACCTATGACTTTTTGTAAGGGGCAGACCCTCCTAATACATATTTATAGCTAAACCACAAGGCAGAGAGCTAATATGCCTGATGGAACCCATTTCCAAACCATGTGCTCACTGAGATTATACAAATCATTTCACATACATTTTTTTTTTGAAACCACAAACAGAAACTACTGCTTTGGATTTTGCCAGCTATATTAACAATGCCCTGAACACAGGCATAGAGTAGTAAATACTCAAGGGGTGGGGGTTGTATTTGTAATTACGTATTATGTATATTAGATACACATGCTGAGAGAGATGGAAAGAAAGCAGTATCCACAAAAAAAAAAAGATGCCGAGAGAGGAAAAAAAAAGTTACAATTTCAAAGCGTTATGGGTCAGACCTCTTCAAAGTTGAGCTTTTAGGTCGAAAATTCAAGGACTAGGATTCTAAGTGGGTACTGGAAGGCTTGTGGACAGCAGATTGTAGACTCATATGTCACAGTAGCTGAGTCTGAGTACTACCTTTGTTGCTAACAAGCTATGTGCCCTCAGGCAAATCACTTACCCATCTGAGCATCAATTTACTTATCTGTAAAGTAAGACTACTTGCCTCAAATGGGTGACTGTGAGGATTAAATGAGATCATGCACCTAAAATGCCTTGTAATTGTAGAGAGCTATATAAATCAATCAGCCAACAAACATTTTATTGAGAGCCTGCTGCTGGCCAGATAACTGTGCTAAGCACTGGTAATGTGAAGACCAAAGTGAAAAAGCTCCTGACCTCAGGGTGCTTACATTCCAGGGAAGGGGGCACAATATGTATATCTTTAAGTATATTTAGTATATATACAAAATGAATACAAGGTGGTTTAGGGAGAGAGTTCATTCCAGGCATGAGGGGATCAGGGCAGACTCCCTATAGAAGGGGATACTTGAGTTGAACCCCGAAGGAAACCAGGCAGAGGTGAAGGGGAAGTGCATTCCAGACATGAGGCACAGTCAATGCCAAGGTATGGACATGGGAGACAGAACAGCATATGTGCAGAACTGCAAGTTGTCCAGGATGGCAGGACTGGAGAGTATATAGAGTAATGTGTAAGAAGACTGCAAAGGAAGGAAGAGTTTTAAATACATCATTCTGTCCCCTATCTTCATGCCATAAAAAAGGAACCATGTTTCATTATCTCTTCCTTGGAATCTTCACTGTTTTTTTGTTTTTCAAGTTCAGCTTCTATCAGTGATCTGTCTACTTACATTGCTTTAGTCATTGTCTATATTGTTCTCTTGGTTCTGCATTTTTTATTCTGCATCAGTTCATATATCCTCTCATGTTTCTCTGAATTCATTATAGCCATCATTTCTAACTTTATGAAGACATTATATTGTTCATAGACCATAGTTTTGGGGCCATCCCCCAGTCAATAGGTATCTACTTTTTTCCAGTT